AAAAAAAACAGGTAGCCCATCTGAATTAGGACATTTAGGCTATCCATCTAATAGTAGCCTACCAAAATCTTATTAACAGTAGAAGTTAAATCTTACTTTACTCTAGTCTTCAAATCTGGGTACTGTCTTACGTTTTAAAATCACAAAGGGAGTTTGGTCCCATCAGGCTAACGTGACAGTCACGACTCATGCAGATGTAAGGTTTTCTTTTTCTTTTGATTTTACTCGCGATCTTTACAACACGCATTACATTACGTATTTCATGGCACACTCGTTTTATGCGTATTTGGCACCACCTATTGTTGTGGGTGTATTATTGACATGTCAAAGTCTAGACCCTGAATATAAGACGACCGCGTTTTTTCAGATGTATTTCCAAGAAAAAAACATCGTCTTATATTCGGGTCAATACGGTATTAGTCCTTCACAGAGGAGTAGCAACAGCTTTTTAGTCAATCATCACTGGTGAACAAGTGTTAGATCATTACAATCATTCTCGAAAATTGTTAATGGAGCTTCAGGAAGGATATTGGGTTGCCCTTAAACTACTGAAGTACCAGCTCAAGGTCTACCAAAATATACATGATCCCCAAAGGCAGTCAAAGCAAACTCATTACAAACCATTAAAATTCAAAAGCATCAAGCAATGTGTTACGACAGCCATTTGTATCCCAAAGTCACCAAAACAAACAGAGATGCTGTGAAGCCAGAGCAGTAGTGATCAGGAATCACACCAACACACAGTTAGATGGGGTGGCTTTGTCTCACAGGACCACAGTGTCCTTGCCTTTCTTCCTAAACCCGCTAGGAGGTTTACACTCGCTTGTGATATCCACATACTGGTGATACACAAACATACTGCCCCTTCGGCTAGTGTCACTTGGGTGGCTCACTGACGGGAAGAAAATAAGTTACAAACATGTAACAAACATAAGATTCAGACTGGCAATGACCTGGATGAATTTTTTCATCACACTGAGTTGCTCACAAATAAACTGATTAGTGAGACTGTCTTTGGTACATGATTTTGTTTTACTGAAAATTGAAACTGGCAAACATTTAATCAGAGAAGGGATATGGGCCAATCCTGATATTAGTTTACGACAATGATGTTGAATTTCAGTTTATTTTAGAAAGATAAATGGTCGAACTTCCTATTAAAATAAAGACTAAAACTTTAAACTTCTATTTGCAAACAGCAATATGTCTGATGGTTTTTTAACCCAAAATCTCAAAAGTATTGGGAAATATCAATCTAGCAGATGCTGCATGAATGTGTAAAAAGAGTGGGCACTTACACTGAATGGCTCTGAGGCGAGGGATCAGTGTAGGGCTGCTGGGGGGGCTGGAGTTGGTGCTGTTGAGGCTTCTTCTCTTGTCCATAGTCGGAGAGGCCTGAACTGTGATTTTATGCTGAAAATCTGTTGAACACAAATAAGGTTATCCTTTAGTAGTATTTAAATCCCTTTAAACATTTCTACGTCAGCCACAATTTACAATAACATTTAAAGGGGTCATAAGATGCGATTTCAAGTTTTCCTTTCTCTTTGGAGTGTTACAAGCTGTTCGTGAATAGATAAGATCCCTAAAGTTGCAAAGACTAAAGTCCTTCTGTAAGAAGCTTTGGGGCAGTCTGCCAAGAAACACACTTGAATGATTTAGACAATTCATTAATGAATGAACAATTTGTTTATTTACTAGCGAGGAAAAGTTTTGCGCATCACGAAACAAGAAAAATATTTATGTGCGAAGACTTTACTTACAGCAGTGGAAAAATTCACTGATCAAGAATGTACGTGGAATAAAATGTCAGTTTTAGCTGACTTGCAGGAAAGAGCATTCTTGATCAACCAAAGGCAAATCCTTTTCAACATAGCAAGCTGCTAGGACTGGAAGCAGCTTATCACATTAACTTTATCAAACGTTTAAGGCCATTTCATTGGTAATAGATGGGTTTAAGAGGATAAGTTCAACCACAGTTACCCTGTTCAAATCTGAACCAAAAAAAAATAAAAAATAGGTCCACTGTCTCATTACAAAACAGTCTGTGCAGTGTTTGGCACACAAATCAAAACAATAAAGTCAATGTAAAACAAGCTCAGAAATAGACAAGCCAACAAAATCTTGATCAACTGACCTTTTCTTTAGTGCGTAGCTCATCAAACATTTCTTGAATCTCCACTCTCCAGTCCTCCTGCATTGAGTGGAAGGAGTCCTGCGGCATGGTGGCCATCACAGCCTCCTCTATGGCAGTCAGCTGCTCCAAGATGGAAGCAAAGGATGGGCGGATGTGGGGATCCTGCTCCCAGCATTCTATGAGCACAAAATATGTTAGAATCCTATAGGTTATCATTTCAATGAACTGTCATTGCTGATTGCAGTGGGAATTGTTCACACTCAAGCCCTGTTCACAACCGCCAGCGACACACAGTAACATGATCCCATTCATTTCAATAGAGAACTGCTGATTTAGGCAATGTAGGCATGTCCAGTGGCATGATAGTTTTCTTTGCATAATGTTCATTATTAGAGAAAATAAATGATAATTTTTCTCAATCAAATAAGAGTTCCTTGGCAGTAGGAGACAGTTTAAATGGTATTTTAACAGATTGTTCATCTGGATGTTTTAATGAACCAGCACTGCTGTATTCTATATAACAGCAGCAGAATGTTACTTCATTAGCAACAAGAAAATGAAAACCTAGTCAAATTAGAATATCTTAGTTTTACCATCAATATACATCATCTGTGATATGCAGACTACCAATAACTTTAGAGCGAACACCAACAAGCAACTTACAGTACGGAGACAAACTGGTGGTGTGAACAGGGCATCAGTGCTCAGACATCAAAAAATGCCATAGCGTGTTAATAACATATAGTGAACCATTGGATGAACAAAGGAGCACCATCAGTGAACTACCAACAGACCTACCCTCCATGAGCTTGGCAAAAGGCTCGGGACAGGTAGATGGAATGGGAAGGGTTAATTTGTTGACAGCCACTCCATAGGCAACTGCCAAACCGTCGATGCCACGGTAAGGAACCTCTCCAGTCAGTAATTCCCAAAGGAGGACTCCATAGCTGCACCGAGAATAGAATGCATTAAGGAAGTGTCAGTGTGGTATGGGTTGGTATTAATCACACAGATGGGCTGAATGAACAGTGCTTATGTACAATATTAACGAGACTGGCATCTTTGGTGCACTCAGCACTTTTTCCCTGATAAAAGGTTGCTCACTGAGTGCACCTGTGTTCTTATGTGTGGTCTGTTCCTATTATGAAAGTGCGCAAATTGATCCCAAAGCAAACATTTTATAATTGCTAAATATTTCTAAAATTACTTAAGTTCTCTTCTTAACCTCATGATAAGGCAAAGAAAGGGAAAAACAATGTTCTAGCAATGTCAGGAAAGAAAGAAGAGAGAAGTGAAACCAATCATGTGTTGGCATACTGTAAGCAATTTCTGACCAAAGTGGCATGAGAACGTTTGAAAAAGGATGAGTCTTCAAATTTAGCTTTCACAAACAAGTTAAAAGGGCAGCTGGATCACCACTAAAATGCTGTACTAGTTCAAACTGACCTAAAGTTTCTGTTAACCTAAAAACAAAATCAACCACTACATACTCTGTATTAGCCATGTTCCAAAACCTACACGCCTACACGGGGAGTTCCCTTTTAAAGCAGTATTCAGATGGAAACGTATTCTCTCAAGTGACTGATTTGGAACACTTCCAATACAGTTTGGAGCTGGCAAGCTAAAAACACAATTTTCTAATGTATGTATATTCATCATGGCACACAAACATTGGGTAAAATACAGTATGTAATTATATTAAAAATGATAAATATATAAAAAATGCTCAAATGATGCATCATAGAAGGATAATTACCCTGCTTGCATTTTTGAAAAGCTGGTAGTGTGCCTATGATGCCCGAGTGATTGTCTAACCTCAAGTAACTAATTCACAATAATAACAGGCTTTGTGCTCAACATTGCAATTAAGTTAAAATAACAGCTTACCTCCAGACATCACTCCCTTTGGAAAACAGAGAGGACTTGATGACCTCAGGAGCCATCCAGGAATAAGTGCCAGCTGCACTCATTTTGGTCGTTTTGTGCCACTCACGGGCCAGGCCAAAGTCAGTAATCTTCAGGGTTTTTCGACCAATGTCATCATTCTCAATTTTTTCAAGTAATAAAACTAAAATAAAAAAGACAGGAGAAATGTTTTATTTATTTGTACTATATTAGTTATAAATTAATTGTAAAAGTCAGCAGTGAAAAAATGAACCGAAATAACAGACAAAAAAAGAAGTGATTGGGCTGTTCAGATCAGCCACTTTAAGGTATGATGGGAATGTTTTCTACATGCGAGCCTTAGCCTTTGAGCATTTATGTCAATGAACAACAATACAGGAATGCTAAGAGGATGCTCATATTTCCACTCTTTTATCATGAAGTGGAATCTTCAAGGACACAGGCCTACATGAAGAACTCAGAGAGACATACAAGTCGCTCTACTTTACAATACAGTCTCGTACCAAATGACAAACAACATGGGAATGTAGGCCAGCTTGCTTTGAAGCGAGGAACGTCCTGAGGTCAGGAGTAGTATTATTTTTCACCAGTTCTGTCCTTGACATTTATCCAACTTGAGACCTTTATCAACATCAGTATGTAATAAATAGGAAGGCCATCAGTTGATAACTACATGTCTGATTAATCTGACTGTGACTCCCTTTCCATCATGACCCAAGGGGGTAACTAAGTATTTTTATTTGTGGACACATTTCATTAAACACTTTCTAACATTCCCAGCCTTTACTCAGCGTACAGTGGTGAGGACTGGCCTTGACTACACTCCTATTGACCTGTTACAATGTAAGACATTTAGTATAACTGTCTCAAATTGTTAATATAACATTTTCACCCATTCAGTAGGGATGGGCGATATGGGCTTAAAAATATATCTCGATAACTTCTGATATTTATTGCGATAACGATATCAATGACGATAATTTAGGGAATCCTGTTTCTTTAGAGAAAAGTATTATCTTTCCTATTTTTACCCAAAATAGGGTGTTGTGAGCATTATTGAGTACACACTTAATGTAATGACTGTTTAATTCATACTGGAAGCCGGAGGGCGCCCTTGCGCAGAAAAAGTATCCAGTGATCGCTGTAGCTGAATAAAACGCAGATAGAGAAATTTTAACTGAGGAAACCTGAAGACAATAAACATGCGATTGCACAAAATATATGGTATCTGTGTTCTTCAAGCAATCTTGGGTATTTTTTTAGAATGATAAAGTATATTTATAATGCAATGCTTATCGACATAGTCTTTATCACTGTATATAATGCTATAAAATAGTATGATTTCTGCCTTATTCTGTGATACGAAACCACGTCTGATCACAAAAATGTTATTTCAAACACTCGACTATGTTATGAATTTAATATGGAGAGCATGTCAATAAATTAAAATATCTTTGTTGGACAACAGGTTTGTAAACGACTCATACACATGTAAAACTGTGTCGCACACGTGCTACTGTAGTACATTTACTCAAGGCTCAGACCGATTTTTGTCACACTGTACAGCCCTATCCAAACCTGTTCCAGATTGTAGAAGGAGCTGCTCAATTTCACGTCCGTCTTCCTTCACGTCACTCCACACAGTCGCACACAGAAATGTCAACAACTAGACTTTATCGTTATTATCGCGGGAAGACAAATTCTTATCGTGTGGAGAATTTTTACCGGTATATCGCAAAAGATATCTCCCATCCCTACCGTTCAGTACAGAAATCACAATGTTTATTTATTAATGCAATAAGCAGAGAAAGCTATCCAATCAGAATTTAGAGCTGAAACTATTATTTTAGTTTCATATATATAAAGGATTCATATTATAAAGGATTTTAGTTCCTTTACAATTTTATTCATTTCCTTTAAACTCATAAACATGCTGGACACCGCAAATAAAAAGAACCACACAGTGTCTTTTAAAAGATAAAAGACCTGCATGTTAGAAAGTCCTCAGGTAAAATTCACAAAACTTTCATTTTGGGACAAACATGAAAATTGGGATTCCATTTCAAACAGGTTTCACCTGTTTGATGCTTTCAGGTTAATCTCAGCTGTTGGTTTCTGTGCACTTTCAGGTTTGCTTTCCATGAAGTAACAACGCAACAGTTTAAAATTTAATGGAATAACTCTACACACCCACAACCTATTACACAATCATCAGTATTAATATTTTATGCATTTCAGTAAACCAGTTGGTTGGATATGAATGCTGTCTTATTACTAAAGAAGATCAGCTCTTTTCTGCGAACCTGAAACAAAATAAATTTATATTTATATTTTTATATTTATATATTTATATATATATATATATATATATATATATAACAAGGCTAT